CAGGGCAAGTTGTGTTTTATCAGTACAAGTTGTTGATATATCAGGACAATTGGTTAATATATCAGGACAAGTTGTAGTTATATCAGGATATGTTGTGGATATATGAGGACAATTGGTTGATATATTAGGACAAGTTGTAGTTATATCAGGACATGTTGTGGTTATATCAGGACAATTGGTTGATATATCAGAAAAGGTGTAGTTATATGAGGACATGTTGTGGTTATATCAGGACAAGTTGTGGTTATATCAGGACAAGTTGTGGTTATATCAGGACAAGTTGTGGATATATCAGTACAAGTTTTGGTTATATCAAAATAAGTTGTGGTTATATCAGGACAAGTTGTGATTATAACAGGACAAGTTGTGGTTATGTCAGGACAAGTTGTTGATATATCAGGACAAATTGTGATTATATTTTGTTTCTGAACCGCTTAAAGCAACGTTTCAGTTCCTAAAGTGTTTTTTGTTTTAAAGCACGAATGGTTTGGTGTGATTACTGCGCTAACAGAATCGTTTGGATGTGATAAACAATCCTATAAAACTTAACTTCCCAATATGGATGTTATAAACAATCCTATAAAACTTAACTTCCCAATATATATGTTATAAACAATCCTATAAAACTTAACACGAAGCTGTGATACGATTGTGTCGATACATCGTCCAATAAGATGCGATTGTGTCGATACATCGTCCAATAAGATACGATTGTGTCGATATATCGTCCAATAAGATGCGATTTATGTATCTTCACGACATTTGATAAGCTTTCAGTAAACATTAGAAGCCTTTTGTACAGAAAAAAAAAAACAGAATTTCTAATAAAGTAATTTTTGTTAAAAATTAACGATTCAATAAAGGTACTACATGTTGTCTTTTAGCCCGGTATGGCCAGGTGGTTAAGGCACTTCGACTCTCAATCTTAAGTTCGTGGGTTCGAATCCCCGTCCCGCCAAACATGCTCGCTCTTTCAGCCGTGGAGGCGTTATAATGTGACGGTCAATCCCACTCTTCGTTTGTAAAAGAGTAGTCCAAGAGTTGGCGGTGGGTGATGATGACTAACTGCCTTTCTCTCGTCTTACATTGCTAAATTAGGGACGGCTAGCGCAGAGAGCCCTCGTGTAGGTTTGCCCGAAATTAAAAACAAACAATCGTTTTTTCAAACATTACATACAAAGTAACATAACAAACGAACAATAACAGATATTAACATTTTTATTTTACTTTTTTTGCCAGCTGCCATTTAGTTGATCAAACCTGCGAATTTTAAAAGCACTGTACAGTGTGAAGTACTTAAATAAGACAATGTTAGTAATATAGATAATAAATTACAGACAAGACTGTCAAACTTTGTAACAAACCATTGGTAAAACTTCTATATCTACATACGTATTGTATCGACCACTGTGATGCCATACGTACCCCTAGTGTCTATACAATAATATATGACTATTGTTATGAGATACGTACCCCTAGTGTCTATACAATAAATTATGACTATTGTGATGAGATACGTACCCCTAGTGTCTATACAATAAATTATGACTATTGTGATGAGATACGCACCCTTAGTGTTTATACCATAAATTATGAATGCTGTTATGAGGTAAGCACCCCTAGTGTCTATAAAATAAATTATGACTATTGTGATGAGATACGTACCCCTAGTTTCTATACAATAAATTATGACTATTGTGATGAGATACGTACCCCTAGTGTCTATACAATAAATTATGACTATTGTGATGATATACGTACCCTAGTGTCTATACAATAAATTATGACTATTGGGATGAGATACGCACCCTAGTGTTTATACAATATATTATGACTATTGTGATGAGATAAGCACCCTAGTGTTTATACAATAAATTATGACTATTGTGATGAGATAAGCACTCCTAGTGTCTATACAATAAATTATGACTATTGTGATGAGATAAGCACCCCTAGTGTCTATACAATATATTATGACTACTGTGATGAGATACGTACCCCTAGTGTCTATACAGTAAATTATGACTATTGGGATGAGATAAGCACCCCTAGTGTTTATACAATATATTATGATTATTGTGATGAGATACGCACCCCTAGTGTCTATACAATATATTATGACTACTGTGATGAGATACGTACCCCTAGTGTCTATACAATAAATTATGACTATTGTGATGATACGTACCCCTAGTGTCTATACAATAAATTATGACTATTGTGATGAGATAAGCACCCCTAGTGTTTATACAATAAATTATGAATACTTTTATGGGATAGTACACCTAGTGTCTATACAATAAATTATGACCACTGTGATCAGATACGCACCCTAGTGTCTATACAATAAATTATGACTATTGTGATGAGATACGCACCCTAGTGTCTATACAATAAATTATGACCACCGTGATCAGATACGCACCCTAGTGTCTATACAATAAATTATGACCATTTTTCATCCATGAATGTTTACCTAATTATTATTGTGTTTCTTCCTATGGTGGACAGATATATACTCTCACAACACTAATTCACGACACTTCATGAAACTCTCACAACACTAATTCACGACACTTCATGAAACCCTCACAACACTAATTCACGACAGTTCATACAACCCTCACAACACTAATTCATGACACTTCATGAAACTCTCACAACACTAATTCATGACACTTCATGAAACTCTCACAACACTAATTCACGACACTTCATACAACCCTCACAACACTAATTCATGACACTTCATGAAACTCTCACAACACTAATTCACAACACTTCATGAAACCCTCACAACACTAATTCACGACACTTCATACAACCCTCACAACACTAATTCACGACACTTCATGAAACCCTCACAACACTAATTCATGACACTTCATGAATCCATCACAACCCTAATTCATGACATGAAGTTGATAATTAAACAATTTGAGTGGGATATGTAAGCTTGTTTTAATTATCGTTTAGTTGAACTGTATGTATGTTTTCAATAATTTACGTGAGCTTGATACGGGTTATCAAGATTCCAAGTATTTACGTGAGTTGGATACGGGTTATCAAGATTTAAAATATTTACGTAAACCGGATACGGGTTATCAAGGTTCCAAGTATTTACGTGAACCGGATACGGGTTATCAAGGTTCCAAGTATTAACGTGAGCCGGATACGGGTTATCAAGGTTCCAATTATTTACGTGAACCGGATACGGGTTATCAAGGTTCGAAGTATTTACGTGAACCGGATACTGGTTATCAAGGTTCCAAGTATTTACGTGAACCGGATACAGGTTATCAAGGTTCAAAGTATTTACGTGAACCGTATACGGGTTATCAAGGTTCCAAGTATTTACGTGAGCCGGATACGGGTTATCAAGGTTCCAGTTATTTACGTGAACCGGATACGGGTTATCAAGGTTCCAATAATTTACGTGAACCGGATACGGGTTATCAAGGTTCGAAGTATTTACGTGAACCGTATACGAGTTATCAAAGTTCCAAGTATTTACATGAACCGTATACGGGTTATCAAGGTTCCAAGTATTTACGTGAACCGGATACTGGTTATCAAGGTTCCAAGTATTTACGTGAACCGGATACGGGTTATCAAAGTTTAACATGTGAATTGAAGTGTTGCTTTAGTTGAAATTTCCTTTATTTTATCGATTCATCAAAGTACGACCACTACTGTTTATCTAATTCGTGCGCTCGAGCTTAAGGACAAAGTGTTTTTGTTTTCCTATTTAAGCATGTTTTGATATAAAATAATTCTTCAAGTACAGTAACTCAACAAACGAGCGCGTATATTTTAATCTAATACTAAGAAGATTTTAGGAGTTTGATTATGGACTGAAAATGTCAAAGTTTAGTTATAAATTCCACAAACTAACCGTCTTCATCCCGTCTTCTTTAAGCTCAAGAAGATCCAAAGTAAAGTTGATTCTTCTTCCACTTTCGTCGAACTGTACTAATCCAGACAGGCCTTGAAACTTGACCTACCGTTCAGGCACAAAAACAAAAATCAGCTTACATTCTTTGATACTAACAACATTGTTATATAAGCTTTAAGTTCTTCTAGTTATATTTTTCTTATTACCAAAAGTATATTGATATACTATATAAATATTGTTTAAAACAAGAGCTTTCAACACTAAAAGCAAGGCTACGTTTTTAAATAATACTTAATTCGTTAATAATATTGAGTAGACTACGAAATGGTATGGTGTGAATTACTTAGACTACCAAACAATGATAAATTAAACAAAAATATTAGCTCCCTCGTAAGAGTTTCTATCTGAAATCCTCTTCTGAGCTTGTTATTTTGGACAAGATGGTTACATTTTCTAGTTACAATCCTCCTCTGAACTTCTTATACTGGATAAAATGGTTACCTCCTCTGAGCTTGTTACATTGGACAAGGTGGTTACATTTTCTAGTTACAATCTTCCTCTGAACTTCTTATACTGGATAAAATGGTTACCTCCTCTGAGCTTGTTACGTTGGACAATATAGTTACATTTTCTAATTACAATCCTCCTCTGAGCTTCTTATACTGGATAAAATGGTTACCTCCTCTGAGCTTGTTACATTCGACAAGATGGTTACATTTTCTAGTTACAATCCTCCTCTAAACTTGTTATATTGGACAAGATGGTTACATTTTCTAGTTACAATATTTCTCTGGACTTCTTATACTGGATAAAATGGTTACCTCCTCTGAGCTTGTTACATTGGACACGATGGTTAAATTTTCTAGTTACAATCTTCCTCTGAACTTCTTATACTGGATAAAATGGTAATTTTCTCTCCTTAAAATCCTCCTCTGAGCCTGTTACATTGGACAAGATGGTTACATTTTCTAGTTACAATCCTCCTCTGAGCTTGTTACATTGGACAAGGTGGTTACATTTTCTAGTTACACTCCTCCTCTGAACTTGTTATATTGGACAAGATGGTTACATTTTCTTGTTACAATCCTCCTCTAAACTTATTATATTGGGCAAGATGGTTACATTTTCTAGTTACAATCCTCCTCTAAACTTGTTATATTGGACAAGATGGTTACATTTTCTAGTTACAATCCTCCTCTAAACTTATTATATTGGGCAAGATGGTTACATTTTCTAGTTACAATCCTCCTCTGAACTTGTTATATTGGGCAAGACGGTTACATTTTCTAGTTACAATCCTCCTCTGAACTTGTTATATTGGACAAGATGGTTACATTTTCTTGTTACAATCCTCCTCTTTACTTGTTATATTGGACAAGATGGTTACATTTTCTAGTTACAATCCTCCTCTAAACTTGTTATATTGGACAAGATGGTTACATTTTCTAGTTACAATCCTCCTCTGAACTTGTTATATTGGACAAGATGGTTACATTTTCTAGTTACAATCCTCCTCTGAACTTGTTATATTGGACAAGATGGTTACATTTTCTAGTTACAATCCTCCTCTGAACTTGTTATATTGGACAAGATGGTTACATTTTCCTAGTTACAATCCTCCTCTAAACTTGTTATATTGGACAAGATGGTTACATTTTCCTAGTTACAATCCTCCTCTAAACTTGTTATATTGGACAAGATGGTTATATTTTCACACATCTAGGTTCAGTTTTTTTTAAACTTTCATAGAATGGAACAGATAGTGTTTTCGAGAAGTACATACAGTCTTTCAATAATTCATGAATTTCGGTGTTTGGAGTGATTATAAATCTTTTTGTATTTCTGTTATTTCTAACCTATAACTGCTTTTCGTATAACAAATATACCCCATAGCCTCGAGACAGTGGCACATGATATCGTTATTCTTATAAATGGTAGATTTTAAACGATAAGGGATGGTATGTGCTGTAAAAAGAGAAATCTGTTCTAAATATAAACTCACATTTTATTTCATGCGCCAATTACGATTGAAGGTTTTCAGCAGGTAACACTAAAGCAATAACTATTCAAAAAAAAAATCACCGACTTTTCTGTGCAATTGTATCGTAAAAAGGCAGGATCAAGCAGTCTGTAAAGTCACCTCAGTAACTGTGGTCTTTCAATGTAGTCCGGGTAGGCCTGTTTAAAATAACATGGCTGATGGAAGAGACTCATAACGACACTTTCCGCTGTTTTAATATCGCGTCTGTTTGAAGCAACATTTCATTCGTGCGGAACGGTGAATCGATATATCTGTCAAATCCGGCTTATCCGCACAACACTCAGGAACACGTGCGAAATCTGCTCTAAACCAAAGTTTTATGTGCTGTCTCACATAACTTCTTTTTTGTTGAAAGAGAAAACAGTCACTGGCCTTAATTGCTTGGTGATATTGGAGTACGTTTCCTCCCCGTTTTGAAATGATGATGGCCTATTATATCCAGTAAAACATGGTGCCACTTGACCATTAGTTGTGAGGATTCATCAAGCTTACACTTTACCATGGATCATACCAGAGAAAGCAAATGGTGTAATTCCCAGATGCATTTCTTGTTGATGCATCTGGTGAGCGGTTAAGAAGGCTGTACGGGAGTGATGTAAGATCTGTAAGTCTTTCTTTGTCCATGTTTATTTGTCCACTATCAATGTTTGTTTACCAAGTAATGTTTCTTTATTATCAATGTTTGTTTACCAAGTAATATTTCTTTACTATCAATGTTTGTTTACCAAGTAATGTTTGTTTACCGAGTAATGTTTCTTTACTATTAATGTTTGTTTACTAGTAATGCTTGTTTACCAAGTAATGTTTCTTTACTATCAATGTTTGTTTACCAAGTAATGTTTGTTTACCAAGTAATGTTTGTTTACAAAATAATGTTTCTTTACTATCAATGTTTGTTTACCAAGTATTATTTGTTTACCAAGTAATGTTTGTTTACAAAGTAATGCTTGTTTACCAAGTAATGTTTGTTTACTAGTAATGTTTGTTTACTATTAATGTTTGTTTACTATTAATGTTTCTTTACTATCAATGTTTGTTTACCAAGTAATGTTTCTTTACTATTAATATTTGTTTACTAAGTAATGCTTGTTTACCAAGTAATGTTTATTTACCAAGTAATGTTTCTTTACTATTAATGTTTGTGTACTAGTAATGTTTGTTTACCAAGTAATGTTTGTTTACCAAGTAATGTTTGTTTCCAGTAATGTTTGTTTACTATTAATGTTTGTTTACCAAGTAATATTTGTTTACCAAGTAATGCTTGTTTACCAAGTAATGTTTATTTACCAAGTAATGTTTCTTTACTGTCAATGTTTGTTTACCAAGTAATGTTTCTTTACTATTAATATTTGTTTACCAAGTAATGCTTGTTTACCAAGTAATGTTTATTTACCAAGTAATGTTTCTTTACTATTAATGTTTGTGTACTAGTAATGTTTGTTTACCAAGTAATGTTTGTTTACCAAGTAATGTTTGTTTACCAGTAATGTTTGTTTACTATTAATGTTTGTTTACCAAGTAATGTTTGTTCACCAAGTAATGTTTCTTTACTATTAATGTTTGTTTACCAATTAATGTTTCTTTACTATCAATGTTTGTTTACCAAGTAATGTTTCTTTACTATTAATGTTTGTTTACCAAGTAATCTTTGTTTACCAAGTAATGTTTCTTTACTATTAATGTTTCTTTACTATCAATGTTTGTTTACCAAGTAATGCTTGTTTACCAAGTAATGTTTGTTTACCAAGTAATGTTTCTTTACTATTAATGTTTGTTTACTAGTAATGTTTGTTTACCAAGTAATGTTTGTTTACCAAGTAATGTTTCTTTACTATTAATGTTTGTTTACCAAGTAATGTTGGTTTACCAAGTAATGCTTGTTTACCAAGTAGTGTCTGTTTACCAAGTAGTGTCTGTTTACCAGTAATGTTTCTTTACCAAGTAATGTTTGTTTACCAAGTAATGTTTCTTTACTATTAATGTTTCTTAACTATTAATGTTTGTTTACCAAGTAATGCTTGTTTACCAAGTAATGTTTGTTTACCAAGTAATGTTTGTTTACTATCAATGTTTGTTTACCAAGTAATGTTTGTTTACCAAGTAATGCTTGTTTACCAAGTAATGTTTGTTTACCAAGTAATGTTTCTTTACTATCAATGTTTGTTTACCAAGTAATGTTTATTTACCAAGTAATGTTTCTTTACTGTTAATGTTTGTTTACTAGTAATGTTTGTTTACCAAGTAATGTTTCTTTACTATTAATGTTTGTTTACCAAGTAATGCTTGTTTACCAAGTAATGTTTGTTTACCAAGTAATGTTTCTTTACTATTGATGTTTGTTTATTATCAATGTTTGTTTA